TGGGAGATGTAGCCCACAACATCTACAGTACCAATGACAGCTTATCCCATGTCGAGGGGATGGGTAAAAAAAATCATGACACATATTTAGTAAATTTTGCTATTTCTATTTTTTTTTCAGAAATTCTCGTATATATTACCTGTAATGTCCCTGAGTGGACACTGGTCATACAAAGGTGGAAAAAGTATTGAACACATACAAAATTATTTAAGGGGCTCGATAAAGACATCGTAAGTGTGACATCTTGCTTGTACTGTTGATGGCTGGATACATTTCACAAATATATTTGTAGATTGCAAATTATCTGTTTTTTTTTTCACATTTCGATATTTATTGGTTTTCAACAAAACACGAGAGCAGAGAAACAACATGCCTCAATATACAGTTAGGCATCAGATCAACCTGAGCACTTGTCAAATTGAAATGAAAATTTGGCAAACAGATACTAAAAGGAAAATACATAGATAAACATGTGCAAGCTGGGTTTGTATTATTTGCCAAATAATATTTAAGACCAACTTGAAGATATGAGATTAACTTTAGACTCGTTGAGAGTTTCAAGGGTTCTTCTTCAATTTTTAAGTTTCACAAATTGAATAGTTTGTAGAATCTAACAATGCTAACTATTTGGACACCATGGGGCTGGGAAACATGACACAGATAAAGAAACACTATATCTGATTCATTTTGCTTTAAATCTTTGTTTTCCGAGACCTACATAAACAGGCAGAGAAACACGAGATATACATTTGATCTTTGTAATACTCAAGGGTATAAAACCAGAAAGAAAGTAAGAGGCGTCAGTTTTCTGTCTGAAATATAATATTTGCACAGTGTAATATTACAACATACAACCTTACTAATGTCTTCATCACCGGTACACATGGTGTAATGTTGTTGTCCTTTTCTTTAATTACACATAGTGCGTTTATATTGTCTGGCTACACCCTTACAAAGTATGTCTCGGCATGACGACAGATCAGGAAAATTAAAGTCATGTCCTAAATGAAAAGGATGCATGAGTAATTCATTCACCAGAGTTACCCAAGACAAAATGATTAATAATGTTTTTTTCTAACCAATGCCTTATAAGTAACGTACTAAGTCCCAGTAGAAAACAAACAATAGTATTCAAGACAGTTATCTGCATTGGTGCATGTGGGGATGAATGTATTGAACACACAAGGAAAAATAGAAAGTTTATTCACTAAACGCAAGTTAAAAAGAAGTAAAAATTAAAACAATCGAGGCAAAAAGCATTGTTCTGAAAAATTGTCCGCTTCAGCTCTAATTACAGTTCGATTATGTTAGACTAAATCTGGAACTTTGTTTTTCAACTCACAATGTTTTATTTAATGAATAATCTACATACTGTTTCTCACATATCATGTGAAGTGAAGAAATTCCCCATGCTTTTTTGTCATATCACTACCTACCAAGAGAGAAAGTACCTGTATCTTCTAAGCAATGCATTGCACAAGTAGAATTATTCTAACATTCCAATATGGGGTTCGCTTTCATGCTGGTCAACAAAAAAGTTAAACATTGTTACTACCAATAGTTAACATATTACAGCTACATGTATGTACGTAGTGGGAGTGGGAACTGGAAACCAACTTGGATGAAACATGCCACAGCATTTATTAAGCATAATAATACTGTATAACACATTCTTTTTTTTATTACATTCTTTATTTATTAACTTGTAAATCTGTATTACATATAACAACAATAAATAAAAAATAAATAACACACAGAGTCATACAGAATGACCTTAATTAAATTTTAATTAACTTTAGTTAAACGTCCTTGCCAATCTCTAACCGAATAAATACATATGCTTATGACACCCACTGGGTTCTCCCCACTCATCCGACCATTTACTTTTAACCTGTTACTGGCCAGAAACTAAAATGACTCTGAGGTCAGTTTCTCTAGCTACCACCCACTCATCTTACAAACCTTTCCGCGGCGCATACAAACCAACCAATCAATCAATCACACACATCCATACCCACACTCATACATGCACCCTTGTCCGCAGTGGCGTACACACAACCCATGGGGCCCCAGTGCAAAAACTGATCCGTGGCCCCCCCTGGGCTTACTCTGTGAGGGCCAGGGCCGCAACACATGGCGCCGGGCACCTGGTCGCAGGGGTCGCAGGGCTGCGACCCCTGCGACCGTTGTATGTATGCCAGTGCATGCAGATACACATACACTTAAAGGACCACTACAGACACCCAGATCACATCAGCTCAATGAAGTAGTCTGGATGCCAGGTCCCTCTAGTTTTAACCCTGTAGCTGAAAACATAGCAGTTTCAGAGAAACTGCTATGTTTCACTGAGGGTTAATCCAGACTTTAGTGGCTGTCTCATTGACAGCCGCTAGCGGAGCTTCCGTGATTCTCACTGAGTTTGTGTTTCTGTTAGCTAGTGTATGCGTATCTGTCAGTGAGTGTGTGAGTGTATTTAGAAGGCGGGACGGGGGGAAGGGATGGGTGGGGGTGGCGCACGCAGGGGTTGGGGGGCGCCTTAGTTTTGTCCTGCCTAGGGCAGCACAAAACCAGGATACACCACTGCACACATACACTGTCACGAACAGACGCATACACACTAGCTAACAAACACACACTCTCACGAACAGACGCATACACACTAGCTAACAGACACACATATTTACTGACAGACACACACTCAGTGAGAGACATACATACATACTCACTGACAGACAGACACATACACACTCCCTTACAAAACACGCACTCACTAACAGACACCAGACTCACTAACAGACACACACAAGCTAACACACTCAGTAACACACTCACTGACACACACAAACTAACACACACACTAACACACACACTAACACACACTCACACTCTAACACACGCTCTAACACTAACACACACTCTAACACACACACACTCTAACACACACACACAATAACACACACACACACTCTAACACACACACACACACACTCTAACACACACCCCCTCTAACACACACACTATAACACTAACACACACACACAATAACACACACACACTAACACACACACACACACACACTCTAACACTAACACACACTAACACACACACTAACACACACACACACACTCTAACACACACACACTCGTTATTTTAAAAATTAAATCCCCCAGCCTCCCTACCTTTGGGAGTGCTGAGGGGATTCCCTGGGGTCCAGTGGTGTTGCTGGGCGGCCGATCACCGGGCAGGGTGGTGGGCTCGGGAAGGAGCACTCTCCCCTGAGTGCTCCCTGTTCAGCTCCCTCGCGCCCCGCGTACTGATGCCAGAGCCGGAATATGACGTCATATTCCAGCTCTGGCATCAGTGCGGTGCACGAGGGAGCTGAAGAGGGAGCACTCAGGGGAGAGTGCTCCATCGCGCGCCCGTTAGCCTGTCCGCCAGGTGATACCAGGGCCAGCCTCGGGGGGCCCTGAGGTGGCCGGCTCTTGGGTCCCCCAGGAGAAGAGGCTGGCCACACTGGGTACATAACGGGTATGCACTGCTTGTCTGCTAAGCTGCACTATCTCTCTTGAGTCCAAATTATTATTATTATTATGTTATTTTTATAGCGCCATCAAATTCCACAGTGCTTTACAATAGGTGGATGAACAGACATGTAGTTGTAACCAGACAAGTTGGACACACAGGAACAGAGGGGTTGAGGGCCCTGCTTAATGATCTTACATGCTAGAGGGAGTGGGGTAAAATTACACAAAAAGGTAAGGATAGTATTAGACTAGTGACAGTTGCAGAAGAGGAATCAGTCGGGAGCTATTAACAGAAGTTAGTTTTTAACGATTTTTTGAAGGAGTGGAGACTGGGTGAGCATCTAACGGTGCAGCCCTCGAGAAATCTTGAAGGCGAGCATCAGATGATAGATGTAAGTCATCAGCAGATCGTAAAGGCCTAGACGGGACATACTTGTGTATAAGGGAGGATAGATAGGTGGGAGCAGCATTATGTAGAGATTTGAAAGCAAGAACCAGAATTTTAAATTGAGCTCTATATCTTATAGGAAGGTGGAAGGCCTTTGTTGGAGGCTTCCGAGCCTACTTGATACTCTGTGTCCTGGGCCGCTACCCCCATAGGTTGGGAGGGGTTTTCCGGAGGGAGGTGCGTCAGTATTTTTGAAATGGCCTCCAGAGATGAGACGTGGGAGGTGCAGGCGGACAGGAAAATGAGACTCAGCCCCGCATTCATTATGGACTGTAATGGCGCAAGTTGGGAGCACGTAAGACCACTGAGAAGCGGATTACAGTAGTCAAGGCGAGAAAGGACAGTGGAATGGACCAGCACCTTAGTCGCATCTGGCGTTAAGTAGGGGCGGATGTGCCCAATGTTTTTGAGATGGAAATGACAGGATTTGGCGATAGACTGAACATGAGGCTTGAAGGAGAGGTCGGAGTCAAAGAGAACACCTAGACAACGAGCCTGCGTAGTGGAGCTGATGGTAGCACCGTTGACTTGGAGGGAGGGAAACACAGGAGTAACAACACTTGAGGGAGGAAAGACCAGAATTTCAGTTTTGGTCAAGTTTAGTTTAAGGAAGCGGGCAGCCATCCAGTTAGAAATAGCAGAGAGGCAGTCAGTGACACTAGTCAAGAGGGACGGGGAAAGATCAGGAGAGGACAGGTAGATTTCTCGCATACACAATTCTTTCAAGGATCTTGGATGCAAAAGGCAGTAGCGAGATAGGACGGTATTTGGAAGGGGAGTTAGGGTCAAGGTTGGGCTTCTTTAGAATTGGGGTTACAGTTGCATGTTTGAAGGGCGATGGAAATATACGAGAGGAGAGAGAGAGATTGAGAGTTTTAGTGAGAGGTGGATAAAGAGAAGAAGACAGAGTACGGAGGAGATGCGAGGGAATTGGATCTAGGGAGCAGGTGGTGGGGTGGGAGGACTGGTGCAGAGCAGAAACCTCTTTCAATGTAGCGGGTGCAAATTAACATAGAACAGCAGAGGGAGTGAAGTTAGGGGAAGAATTGTAAGGGAAAGAAGAAAGATGAGACATCTCTTCCCTGATTGTAGAGATCTTGTCAGTGAAGTGAGTTACAAAGTCTGAGGCGGTCAAATACTGACAGGGGTTCATGGTCCACCCCTGCTTTTAACAATTGACAGCTAGTCATATCTGTCTCCACTGGTGCCGACCACCAGTTAGTGTTTACCATTTTGAAAACTGAACAAAAATGTTTCTAATTAATTGCCGTGGTAAGTCCACAAGGACACGCTTCTCATATGATATCCCTAAAGGTTTATTCATTAAAAAGTGAATTTTATGGAATTGAGTTACCTTTTGAATATTCTGACCTTACTTTTGCAGTTGTGTTTTCAATTCATTATAATTCCTGGTTTGTTAAATTAACCCCTTAGTGTTTCTTTAGTGTTATTTGTTTTCTCTATAGAATGCAGTGGGAGTTTGTGGTTGCTAACTTGTTTATTGAGTTAGTTAAAGCATCCATCCTAGTGGTAAACCCTTATCTTGCATAAAAACCCGGTGTTAGTGTTTTATTGACTGTAGCTTCCTCCAGTGTGGGATACTGTTTTCCCTGAGTATTACACAGACAGCAGTTGGTCTGTTTAACTGTTTAGATTCCTGCTAGCCCCATTCTGTGCTTAGTGACATTTTGTTTTGGTGTATTCATAAATCGAGGTTGTAGGAATGAGTAATAGCCTTAACTATAATAATACAACACATCAAATGATAATTATTCATGACTGTATTCCTGAAAAACGTTAACGGGGGAATGGATATAGAATACACTGTCACAAAATGACATTAAATTCTGGGAATATGGTGATTGATGTATACAGGGTTATTTTTAAATGAGAATTGTTGAAAATTCAAAGCGTGTAGTGTGTAAAAAGTGCCTTCAAGTTGTTGTGGACTGTGACTTCATTGATTTCGATCTAGGAAAAGCTTATATCACATCTAACACGAAAGACCACTTAAACCTAAATGTTTTGTAAGCTGTTTAGCACCATCTAGTGGTCATTATCAGAATCACATATATCTATGTGTCAGCACCCTTCTCAAAAATGTAGCTATTAAAACCATTATGAAAATGTAGCCAATATATTTATTAAACATAATATAACATTGAAGCAAAATTATTTGACCACTGCTGTGGTTTTTATACCTAATCCGTGGTTTTGCCAAGTGTACCTGTTTTGGAATATTATTTATTAAATGTGACAAACAGCACGTAATTTAGGAAGTGTCTCTGAAGGCATGGCCAGGGGTTTATCAAATTCAGAATATTTCAGGAAATATCACAGAAAGACATTTAAAGGGACATACATCACTTGACCATTTCTGTGTAAGTGTGTGCATATACAACATGTAAACGTTTTGTGTATATATGTGTAAAACTGTTTGTAAATGTGTAAACGTATTGTGTACTCACATCCGTGCACAGATACACATGACACACAAATGTTATAATCACGATGTGAGAAGTTTAAATAAAGAAGCAATATATTTTTTGCAATTAAGAAGTCCTAAGAGTGCTCCAGTATTTCATATTGAATATTGTACACAGCATTGGAAGTACTAAGGCAGGTGTATTTTTAAGGAAGAGTGCCAGTGTTATATATATATATATATATATATATTTATAAACCCAGTATACTGCCCACTCCCTGCCTGGAGCAGAACCATCTCAAATACTAGCAAAATCTTTCAACCAGCACAGAGCCTTCCTACACCCCAGGGGCCTGCATGACATCCAGGGACCACAGCCCACCTAAGGGCATGTTTGAAGTAATAAAAGCAGAGGGAAATTCAGTACTTGTACAATACTGTAACAGTTCCAGAGGCAGCTCGATCACTGGATCCGGAGTCTTGTCCGGCAGAGGATGTGAAAAAGCAGAAAAAGGTATAGTGTCTGTGATGTCCTTGAGGATATATATAGTGGGAAAAAAAGGAGAAACTGATAGTGTAGTATGTAAAATGTATTGAAATAAAAAAATAGAAGTAATGCACTCACACTTTATGGGAGCTTCATGGAAGCTTCAATTTAAACACTTGAGTGAAAAGATCCCCGCCTCGGGATATGATGTGGTGCAGGTTCTGCGCGCGGTCTGCGTAGTATTTAATTTTGTTGGGGATATATTGTAGAAAAACCACAGGGGTGCACACCGTAAGGAAAAATGGAGTGTGAAAATAAATAAAAACTCACATCTGATTGAGCTAAGAGAAGGTTTGCTCAATCCAGTTGGCATAGGTGCTTTTTTTATCCCCACCAATGATATAGGTGTTCAGGAATCCAGTAGCAGTCAATAATGTCCAATAAAATGTACTTTATTATAAAAACTAGAAAATAAATAAATAGAAATAAAAGAAATAATATAAAACAATATTTAAGTACATGTAACATTTACCATTAATTGCCTTTATCTAAAGTGTTTACAGATTAAAAGGACGTAAGCCCAAGCTAAAGCTTAAGAACCAGACAGTTGTCTTGAAGGGATGCATGTCGCTTTAAATTGAGTCACTTCCTGTTTGTAAAAGCTTATTGAGGCTGGGAAATGTTTAACTTTATATAGAACTGCTAAGTTTACTTTATAAAAAGTACTTTAATGGACAATGGTTTCTTTTATTTTTGGTCTGTAATGTATTATTTATTGCAATGTTCTAGAAATAATGTAAAAACTGTTATCCTTTTTCTTCCGAAATTCTGCCAGTTTGTGCTCTATTATTTATTACATTTTTTGTGGGTTTATTTAATGTTTAGTATTTAAAATTAACTTTAAGAATATTTACAAATGACTAGAAAGTGCAAAGTGAATACCCTGCTCTAATGGATAAAAAGAATAGTTTGAAATAATAAAAACATAACTACAGAGGCGGCTCTCTAATTAGGCGGTTTAGGCGGCCGCCTAAGGCCTCGCGCCGGCTGGGGCCTCGCGGCCGCCTAAACCGCCTGTGGGCAATCTGTGTCAGGTCCTCGGTCAGTGACCGAGGACCTGACACCAGGAGGGGGCCCGGCGGCTTGCCCGGTATGCCGCCGGGTGCGAGGCCCCTCCTGGCGAGAGACCGCCTGCAACCCCTGGTCTGCAGCTCCGCGCAGTGTGCAGAGCTGCAGACCAAGTGTCTGGCGAGATCTGGCCAATCAGAGCGTTGCCGCGGGTTACCGTGGCAACGCTCTGACCGGGTCTCGCGAGACACTTGGTCTGCAGCTCTGCACACTGCGCGGAGCTGCAGACCAGGAATCACCACCGGACCACCAGGGAAAGAAGCCACCGGACCACCAGGGAAAGCAGGTATTTAGTCCCCCCTCCCACACCACCATTACCCCCTCCCAGTAGCCCCCCTCCATTATACCCCCCTCCCAGTAGCCCCCCTCCATTATAACCCCTCCCAGTAGCCCCCCTCCATTATACCCCCCTCCCAGTAACCCCCCCTCCATTATAACCCCTCCCAGTACCAGGAAAGATTGAGAAAATGTTTGAGTCACCAAAAAAAATTACTGCACATTTTAAAATGACGGTTAGGATGCAAAAAAAAAATGAAAAAAAATCAAGAAATAAAAAAGGGACACTTTAGACACCCAAACCACTTCATCCCAGTGAAGTGTTCTGGGTGCCATGCTCCATGCTCCTCCCATTATTTCCTTGCAAGTTAAAACATTGCCGTCCTGCAGAACATTTACAATGCGGGCAGTAGGCGCTTCCGATGAAATAGCCAAGGAAAGCTTTGCTATACAATAAGATAGTTTCAAAGCGAACATCTGATTGGCGCAGTGTGACATTTTGCTGTGCCTTTGCACTTGCCTCCCAGTGCTTTCCTATGGGAACATTTTGGATTGGCTGAGATCATCGATCTTGATGATCTCAGCCAAGGAGCTCTGACAGCAGTACGGAGACTGGCACAGAGAGGGAGAAAAGGTAACTAAAAAAAACTTTATTACCCCCTGCAGGTGGGGGCTGGTAACCTAAACAGCGACCAGGGCACTATAGCATTAGGTTCCTTTAAGGAAACAAATCTTGCCACTCCACCAAAACCTCACTGAAAGATAGATGGAAAAGTGTTGCCTATCAATGCCAAAAAAAGTGTCATGATAAAACACCACACAATAAAAAAAACTTTTTTTTGGTGCAATATAATATTAATATTTTTACATTTCTACAAACCCAGGTTAATGTGGTGAAACTACACACTGAACATTTTAAAAGTGCTATTCAAATTCTCCCCAATGAATCATGCATGTGAGCAGAATTTACTCCAGAAACATCTCGTAAACCATGATAAATGTAAAGTATGCCACCTACTGGTATTTTTAATGAACTGCTGTGAATCTAAAAACTATAGTTTGTAACGTTAACGTACCTCTGTACTCCAGTTGATCTATTAGAGGGTGGTAAGGATTATGGTCTATACATTCTGAATCTATGACCCCCTCTTGGAGAAGTATTACACTGCTATTAGGGTCACACTATAATAGGGAACAAAGTGGTGTCAGCTGCGGTGAGAGTTGGAGCAGGTTATCTGAAAGAATAAAAAGTATAAAATTGTACTTGTACAGCACATCAGTGATGTTATTGTGGAACCCAAGAATTGAAACTGTTTGAACATCATGAGAAATTTAATTCACAAACATCTTCATTCTTCTATAAAAAGTAGGTGTTTTTTTTTTTCCAGAAACACTTACCTTTTTCTTCCCAAATAAGGATTGAGGATTTGACTGTTGTCTATAAACATTCACAATTTTCACAGTTACGTCATTTACATTCAGTTTAGATTAAGAATACCAGCTTGGTTTAAATCCAAGTGATGGCAGAACAGAACTGGCAGAGATAGTTGATTAGGATACTGTGCAAATATACATCTCATGAGTAAGGAGACACAGAATGCTTGGTCAATAACTGCCCCTGACTCCTGCACTCTCCTAAAAAAACGATAAGGTAGCACACGCATGTAACCAGTCATAGATACACATACACACATACATATATACATATAACATGCATAAGCACAAACATAGACGCAAGCATACAGACAAAACCACAGACGATAGATGACGTGTAGTCATATACGCATACTCTACATTGGTTGGCATGCAAACACCATGGCATTAGCAAACAGGGGCAGCAGATTTGTGCCAAGAGAGGTACTGAAGGCCGCTGTTTTAACACTAATGACTGAGTAAATAGTTTTCCTAATATGCCAATTCCCAGGGATAT